TACTCAAAACTAATTGGAAAAATAGAATGCTTATGTAGAGAATGATAAATTTCTTGATATTGTGTATACTTAAATTAAAGTTAACTATTTCTTATTGTAATAACCATTTCTTTAAAAATATCTTTTCAATTTTACGATTTATTATCAAAATTTCTTATTAAAACTAGAATATTAAAAATTAAAAATTTAAAACGATCAGATAATTAATACTTAAAATTCTTTAAAATATCGAAGTGTGATTGTATCAGAAATTCTTATGCCTGATATATTGATTAGATTTTTGAGACTTAATTATAAAAATTAATAGAAATATAATAATAATGTTAAATTTGTAATATGTTACAGAAGAGGTGTATACTTTTGAAAATGAGGAAGATATTATAAAAGCCATAAGTTTAGATTAATTTCAACCAGGAACTTTCAATCCTCTTAATAAATCAATCAGTTATAAGATAAATCATAATAAATGTATTCGATTAAGAGATTTGATTTTTTGGATTGTAATTATATAAATATATTAAATTCTTAATAGGAATCAGATTTTATTAGAATTCATTTAGGTTAATTGTTGTACTTAATATTATCCATATTACAAAAAGTTGAAGATATAGAAAATAAAGGAATTGAACATAATTATTTAGATTTAAATAGAATTTGGATTTAATTATCAGAAATTAGTTAATATCCAAGTTTAATATATTAATTCTTAGATTATTCAATACATTTCACAGGATATAATTGCTCATTAAAAGATTAAGATTTATATTAATAACAAGCATCAATTAAAATTAAAGAAATCATAAAAATAATAATTGATAAATGTTTTAATAGAATTCAATTAAAAAAGAATAATAATAATTAAGAAATAAGAAATTAAATATATTAATAGATATTATAACCAATAATAGATTTATGTAATTCTAATTAATCTATTAATATTATTATTGAATACATTAAATAAAAATTAAATGATTATAATTATTAATATAATTAAAATAATAAATTAATATAATCATTAAATATTGATGATAATGATAATGATTATATTGGATCAAAAAGATATAAATTAATTTAAAAGGTTAATAATGATATTAAATAAATTATTTAATTTGGATAAAAATATGGAATTATTATAATTGAATATTTATTAAATTATAGTATTCCAAGAATTGCTAATAATCTAAAATCATATTCATTAATTGATTATTAAAAAAAAGCTTTAAAATAATAAAATATTTAAAATGAAAGATATAAGGAATTAACAAATATGATAGAATAACATATTTAAGATGGAGTAAAATATCATTTAGATGAATATTCAAATTATTATAAATTTGATATAAATCAATAAGAAATAAAATAATTGGAACAGGAAATCATTAATTCTATTCTTCAATCTCCATAAGTTAAATATTTTTATAATACATATTGGTTTTAACAAAATGAATAAATTGTTAATTATATATTTGCAGCAATAACCAAAATTTCAAAAAAAGAAATAGAAGATAAATTAGAAACCCTTTTCATACACAAAATATTATTATTGATTATTGATTTAATATGACAAATAAATAATTTAGATAGTCAATATTATATTTTGCTTGCTTTGAACTTTTTCTTATAATTTTTTATAGTCAACCTAATCTCGAATTTATGACAAAAACCTTATTCTTTAACATTTTTAGATAATTAAATTTAAGTTTTGCAAATTTTCAAGATTAATGAGGTAATTTAAAATTATAAGAAATTTAAGCTAGTATATTTTTACTAAATCTGATAA